TATATGCTAATTATAAATAATAGTATTACACATTTATGTATTTAAATGATTTTTTTTTCTCATGTTATAAATTACATTTTATGTTGCAGAACGCTGTTTGGGCGGAAAAAAAATAAAACCGAAACCTCACTTAAAGTTTAAAATACAGACGTTCACTGGAGTTTTCTTGTTTTAACATTAATTAGGCCCGTCATGGCCAGGTGGTTAGGGCGCTTGACTTGCAATCTGAGGGTCGAGGGTTCGAATCCTCGTCCCACCAAATATGCTCGCCCTTTCAGCCGTGGGGGCGTTATAATGTGACGGTTAATCCCACTATTCGTTGGTAAAAGAGTATCCCAAGAGTTCGCGGTGGGATGGTGCTGACTAGCTGTCTTCCCTCTAATCTTTCACTGCTAAATTAGGGACGGCTAGCGCAGATACCCCTCGTGTAGCTTGGCGCGAAATTCAAACCAAACCAAGCCACTACTGGTTTAATAAAATTCAAACAGTTGATTTACTTCATGTTTTCGACTATAATTTTTAAGAGAAACATTTCGAAAAGTCTGATTTCTGTAACAGAATACAAAGTCATTATACTAATGTTTGCAATTACCGCATATCAAAAGATTTACGCTAGAAACCGGGTTGCGATACCCGTGGTGTGCAGAGCACAGATAGCCCATTGTGTAGCTTTGTGCTTAAACTACAAACAAACGATTTAACACAAGATTTATTACACTCAGAAATTACGCTGTCTCTTAATATTTGATTATAATGATAGAATCCTGTTAAATGTTTATCATCATTACTCTTACTTTTATTCAAACTCTAACATGCTATTTTCAATGGAAATAATCTTACTTTTATTCAAGCTCTATCCTGCTATTTTGAATAGAAATACTCTTATATTAATTCAAACTCTAACATGCTATTTTCAATAGAAATAATCTTACTTTTATTCAAGCTCTAACATGCTATTTTCAATAGAAATAATCTTACTTTTATTCAAGCTTTAACATGCTATTTTGAATAGAAATAATCTTACTTTTATTCAAGCTCTAACATGCTATTTTCAGTAGAAATACTCTTATTTTTTATTTAAGCTCTAATATGCTATTTTCAGTAGAAATACTCTTATTTTTTATTTAAGCTCTATCCTGCTATTTTCAGTAGAAATACTATTATTTTTTATTCAAGCTCTATCCTGCTATTTTCAGTAGAAATACTCTTACTTTTATTCAAGCTCTATCCTGCTATTTTCAGTAGAAATACTCTTATTTTTTATTTAAGCTCTATCCTGCTATTTTCAATAGAAATACTATTATTTTTTATTCAAGCTCTAACATGCTATTTTCAATAGAAATAATCTTACTTTTATTCAAGCTCTATCCTGCTATTTTCAATAGAAATACTATTATTTTTTATTCAAGCTCTAACATGCTATTTTCAATAGAAATAATCTTACTTTTATTCAAGCTCTAACATGCTATTTTCAATAGAAATACTATTATTTTTTATTCAAGCTCTAACATGCTATTTTGAATAGAAATAATCTTACTTTTATTCAAGCTCTATCCTACTATTTTCAATAGAAATACTCTTATATTAATTCAAACTCTATCCTGCTATTTTGAATAGAAATAATCTTACTTTTATTCAAGCTCTAACATGCGATTTTGAATAGAAATAAAAACAAACAAGAGAGAATCCTCAATAGCTGCGGCACTTGAAATTCTCTTAGGCAGGATTAGAGTAAATTGATCTACGGTACCTTTCTTTTTCCTTTTTATTAGCTATATTTTTGTGCGCCAGCAATACCAAGCGTGGGGTGCGCGTATACCCAATTCGATTTTATTACTCATCAGGACCTCTACCAGTCTACCCTCAAATTGAAATTCTTTTAGGCAGGATTAGAATAAATTAATCTATGAGACCTTGGACGTGAGCAAATATACCAATTGAAAGGTTTTGACCTCCTGAACTCAAAACTGTAATTAGATTTGAAATTGGTCAAGAGATGACGGAACTATTAGCTAAAAGTTTGTACTTGAAAAATTCAGAACTTTTTTGTAAGCCGCTTTGCCGCGGCTAAAAACATTGAATACGTCTATAGCATTAAATACTTAAGTATTAGAGATATTCTAAAACAAAACTCGGGTATAATGTACAAGTATAGTTTGTTAAATGATAGGACAATTGAGTTACGTAGTTTCCAGAATTACGCTTAACACATTATCATTAACATCAATTTCGGAATGTACGGAACGTTACCTCGTGCATACGTGCTCACCAATACACCGTTATTGGTGTAATTGTACTGGAATTCCAGTTGTCAGTACTGCAGAGATTCGGGGGTCTTTGAAACACAAATAAACAGTTTTGTAATTACATAATTTTTGGACCCTGGTATCAAACTTTATAATCGATAGTTTCTCGTGATTTAGTGGCAGTTTAAAGTAAAAGTTGATTTACAAAGTCAAAATTCTACTAAATATTTTTATTACATTTTTTTCACCTTCCCGTTTTCTGGGTCATTATTAGGCTACGGATTGTCGCTGTCACGAGTAGATAAAAAATTTTACGAGAAATAACGTCTGGGAAGTAATGTGTTCTTTTACTTTCAAATGTGTAAAGACTACGTTTTAGAAGTATTTTATCTCATCTCGGTTATTACTTAATATTTTTATTCGTTTGCCAAGAACTTAGGCATTTCTTTTTAAATCAATGTCTAAAACTACATACAAGGATACAGCACTCCACATTAAATTAATGCGCAAGAACCAGTTGATAAGTAGCACAGTTGGTTCTACCAGAGACACTGCGGTGGAAATATGTAAAAGAAACCCTCGTCTTAGTTCCATATACCCTGGACTGATTTAGTAAAATCTGCTATCACACACACACACGCGCTCGCGCGCGCGCGCATCCACCCCAATGGCTTAGTGGTAAGCTTATATTCTAAAAATGTGGCTTCGCGGGTAGCCCATTATATAGATTTAGGCTTGAACCCAAACAAACAAAATGTTTAGTTGAAATAAAACACAACAGGAGAACTAATAATGGCTAGACTTTAATATAACAGCAAATGTACAACGTTTCGACAAGGTTTCGTAATCATCAGGTACTTTGTCGAAACGTTGTTCATTTGCTGTTATGTTAAACTTATATTAAAGCATTATTAGTCTCAAAGTGGGTTTCTCGTCATTGAATAATATATGTTGAAATTATAAACTTTATATTAAGCACAGCTGTATAATAATTGAATTATATAAAAAGCGTTATAGTTATTAAAGGTTGATAGAAAAATTAAAAGTGGTAAAACTGTCACCAGAGAGCAGCACGAAAAAACAAAATCATTATGATGAAAGTGGTGGTTTGTTTGCCCAAAATAAAAAACAATGAGAATATTATATTCATATACAATAAGCACCCAATAACATACAATTTGCATCCAATAACGAGCTTCTTAAATTATAAGCTCATTTATTCTTGCTGAATTTTCAAAAAGTGGTACTGCATGGTTTCGTGGATAATCGTGACCTTTAACCCAATAAATAGTAACATCTTAGCAATCAGTGATCCCCCAGTGACATAGTGACCTTTAACTCAATAAATAGTAATATCTTAGCAATCATTAACCCCCAGTGACACAGTGACCTTTAACCCAATAAATAGTAACATCTTAGCAATCAGTGACCCCCCCCCCCCCCAGTGACACAGCGGTAT